GGGGACACGCGGAGCGAGGCGCGGAGCGGGGCCAGGTGCCGCCCCAGGTGGCGCGCCCGGCGCCCAGCGCGCCGCGGCCTTGCCGCGGGGAGCGCGACTAGTTAAACACGCGCCCGCTCCTGCGTGAGCCGCAGCCGCAACCCACAGCTTGAGAGCTGCCCGCGCTGGGAGCCAGCAGGATCCCGCGCCTCGCACCCAGCCCCTGGGAACTGAGGTCGGAATCAGCTGGTGGCTTTGGTGTCTCTGGGAGAAGGAGGAGGAGGAAGAGCAGCTTCCCAGTGTTGATGATGATTTAAGATAGTGAAAATAAACACAGGCTACTTGAATTAGAAGAGCGTGTGCAGGCTGCTTCAGCAGCCCTCTCCTGAGCAGAACATGCTGTGTTTGAATCCATCTCCAGCTGCGAAGAAGCAAAACCATCATCCTTTGGGAGAAATTCTGATGTTTTTTTGGCCCCTCAGCCCAGTGTCTCGCTCTCAGGAAAATGGGACTGCTCGGGTGCTTGCACATGCAGCCTCCAGTTTCTGTGACACCTCCAGGATTTGTGAGCAAGCAGCAATGTGGTGCTGCCCTTGTCTCTTGCACAGCAGCAATACCTGCCTGTTGTTTCAGGGGTGAACCTGAAGGTGTAAGCACTCACTGCAGGAGAACAACAGTCCAAAAGTTGGAATTTGCTGCCATGAGACGTCCTGTACAGGCCATGGTCCCATATGGCAGTTTATTCATGGTAGATGTGCTCAAGAAGCTACTGTCACCCTTTCTCCTTTTGGACATCACTGTTGCTTTGGTTGTTCGTGGGGCTGTTCATGGATGAATGGATCATTCCACTCTTTCATGAATGTGCATTTCTTTAAAAATGGGGTAATTCTGTAGATCCCAGCACTGTGAGCAGATCTGTGTGGTGTCCTGCACACTGCTCTGTCCTCGCGTGGCTGCCCTCATCCTTGGTCTCACAAGATCAAACATGAGCAGGTTCGGGGAGCTGACCTGGTAGAATCTAATCAGCAAATTCAGGTGAAATGGGAGAGTGGGAGCCGCTTATTGGGACCTGCTGCTTGGGGAGCACAGGTAACGCAGCAGCACCATTTGCTGTCTTCGGTTTTGTGTTGTTGAAGGACTTCTGTGACTGAAGAAGGTTTTTGTTTGTTTTTGGCATTACACCTAGAGCTGAACCAGGGATGCAGCTGCTTTCCAGGCATCTTCTCCAGGTTCTCCATCCCACGAGTCTGTAATATCGACTGCCTGGACTCAGGTTTCATTTTACGCTCTTTTTTGGATAGAAAAAGAAAATCCATGATACCTTATCTTTTTTTTTTTTTTTTTTTAACTTTAGATGATTAAATAGGAGGAGGAACTGATATAGCCCACTATGAAATGTCCATACACAACACACCTAAATCTGACCCTCGTACTGAAGTTTTAAATGAATTGATTGCCATTTGGATTATGTGGCCAGGTCGAACCCCAAGTGAAGTCCTGTGATTGTGTAGAACTGTCAGCTTGCATTTTCTTTGCAGTGTTTCACTGTTGTTGCTGCTTGACCACATGAATGTTGTTTTTATTCAGCAGAAGACTGTCTGGCTCAGTGCGATAATGACTGCAAAGCTTACTGCTGCGACGGGACTGCTCCCTACTGCTGCTCCTATTATGCCTACATTGGGAATGTCCTTTCGTAAGTAGATCTGCTCTTTGGAGGAAAGCGATACCCCATGTGCATGAACTTGATGTGAAAGCAGGTGGCTAGAAAATGTGTTTGGGCAACAACAGTGGCAGCATTTGGTCTGGTTTGGGATTTCATTGCTTTTTGTTTCCTTGCTGGTAGCAAGTATTGGTAGTCCTAGAGTGTTATGGTGCATATCTTTTTAAAGCATGTTTATATCATGTGCTAAAATATGTCTTTAATTGTGTACACCAATACGTGGTATCTTTACAGCTTATTTCCACCACCCGAGAACTCTTTTTTTCCCAAGTTCTTCAAATCAAGAGGGCTGTGAATAGAAGTCTTGTATTTCTTCTTTTGGTTGAAAGGCTTTGTTACAACACTTCAGTCAAACCACTGTTCAAATAACCTGTATTTTAGGTGTTTTTTTTTCTTCTTTCATTACTCTTTGTTTGCTTTTTATTGAATTTTTTGTTGTTTTTGCTAAATGATTTTCTCTCTTTTTTTTTTTTTTGAATTTATTGAATGTATTCTGTGTGGGGGTAATCTGATCCCTTAGCACAGTTGCATGAATAGCATGTTTAACAACAACAAAAAACCCATAGCAGGTGAAACTGGGTGGCTGTGACTGTTTCCTACGCAGAGCGTAGGAACTGGAGTGTGCTGCTCATTAAATACATCGGCTCCAGGGGAGCTGTTAGCTCAGCTCTGCCTCCCTGTTTGCTTCAGAGGAACCTGGGGTGCCTGCCAGCACATGATTAATGCAAACGACAACCCGTAAGTATTACATTCGTGTGCGAGGATAAACCTAAACAGAACCTGCAGTGTTACTCTTCAAGACAGGCCACCTTACCGTCTGTTTTGGCAACCCCATCAGTAGTTTCCTTAACYTCTAATATGCAGTTGGTGGCGTATTTTTGTTTTGAATTCCTGGCTAAAAGCAGGGGAGGAAGAAGAAGAGTGTTACAGGCACCACTTGGTGCTTGGGGAGCAGTGAGTGGGAAGGTGGTTGCTTTTTCCAGAGGAGGCTCCTCTGTTGCAGGTTTTGTTTTAGTCATGGTACCTGGGGAACATGCGAGTCTTTCCTCCAGCATATCTTATGGCACTTTGAAAGAACAGGCATAGTGATGGGGTTTTAATGCAGAATTGATCCACCGCTTTTAAAGCAGATCAGACACTTCCTGGGCTAAAGTAAATAAAATGGTGATGCAGCATCAGAATCCTTCATCCCTCTGGAAATAGAAGAGCCCGTGTTTAAGATTGCCTGCTGGAGATTACTGCCAGAGTGATTTTTGCTCTTGTCTAGGGAATGTCTGCTTTGATTTTTTTTTCCTCTCATTCCAAGATTGCTTTTTCATTTAGATGCATGGAAAGAGGTGCTGTTTTTGCATACCTCATTCCAGCTCTTATGTGCTGAGGAATGTAGGATGTGCTGCCGTAGGATATCCCATTATAAGTAGCAGGCTTCCTATGGAGCAAGAAAGCAAGCAGTTTCTTCTCCCACTTCCACACGTGCATCCTTGGCATTTGTCTAGCCTCAGGTCAGAGCTGTGCTTTGAAAGGGATCAGCCCTTTCAGGGCACTTCTTACAGTAATCACCAAAATGTTCAAATCTCACCTTCAGCATCAGGTTCTTGCTTAGTCTCTTCTATGCTTATTTAACAGCTGCTGAATTGCGCTASGGTGTGAGCGATGCGGAGACATTGGAAAGATGTGTGCGTACTTGGGTGACTTTGAACACTGGAGAGACTCACCACAAGAGCTTGTTTGTCACAGCACATCTTCAAGAGGACATTTGAGTGTTCTCATTTTTTATGGTTAAGCACTCCGACACATGGACTCGAAGGCCAGTCAGGAGTCATTACTCTCTTGTGACCTGACATTTTGCATGATTGAGCTGTAGAATTTTTCCCTGAGAAGCTGTACTGGGTGTGTCTTCTATAAACACGTGTAATCTCATTTTATCCAGGCATTCAGGCATTAATGAGTTGACCATCTGCCCTGGTAAGCTGTTCTTTAGTTAATTTTCATAGAATTTTCCTCACGCTGCCAGGAAATTTCATCTATAATGAATCTCAAATTCATAATGTCAGGTCTTAGTCTATCTGTGAGTTTGAAACATGGCCTTAAGTGGTCACCATGGCAGCTCTCAACCTTGTCGCTGAGCTGGGAGAACTGTCAGCTTCACAGATACAACTTGCTCTGTTTTGCTTGGCCCTGCCTGTGGGTCAACTCTTCAGCTTTTCTTTGAGCTCTCCCTAGTATTTTCAACCCCTTCTAAAAGTGGGGCTAGCAGAGCTGAGCACCTGACTTTGGCAGGGGGTCTTACTAGGATCATTTTTTTCTATATCTTTATTTGAGTATCCATTCTGAACCAGTTGTCTATCATGATCACAGAAAACAGAGCTGGAATGAATTCTAAGTTCATTTGCAAGTCTTGGCGTCACTGTTCCCAAAGCATGTCTGCCACTTCAAGCTTACAAAATGTTTTTTTTAGGRGTGCTACCTTGCTTTTAGTTGTATTACAAGACGTGTTGTTGGATGGTGGCATTAACTAGGCCGTTTAGATTGCTCCATAACAATAACTTTCTCTTTTTAATATTTTCACCGTACTGACCTTTGCCTTATGTGCTAACTTTATGAGTCAAAGTTTCTTCTCATTTCCTCATCCCAAATAACAAACTATGACATGGCATTAGGAGAAATGTGATCTGGAAATGCCCACTCATAACATACTTGCTTGATAATGTCGTTCTTTGAACAAATGRATTTTCTGTTTTAAGAAATCATCATCTTTTTAGGGTACTGGGGAATTTTTTCTTTAGTCACATGAGGTTTTCAACAAACATCCTTCAGGCTGTGTGCATCTATGATCAGCTTACTTTTCTTTTTGCACATGAAAAAGCAGATGCAAGTAATTAGCTCACTCTAATATTAGAACTCACAGGTGTATAAAGGATGCTCCCATAACTCCTTCTTTAGTTGGACTGGTTAGGGATATACTCTGCAAATATTCAAGGTCTGTGTTTGAGTCACTTACAATCCCACAAGCAGCTCTAATGTAAAGCAACATCCTTCCTCGTTCTCCTCCGCCTATTCACTTTTTTCATGATAACCTTTCAGAGCAAGTTCCTACCAGACTAAGATTCCAGTTACATTTCCTTTCCTACTAGTTTTCAATAGTTSCAGCCTGTCTTTATTTCCTGTGTTGCATATGTATTTCCTCCCATTTGTTTGTTAGGCATCTAGTGCTCAAGAGATGCTTTTCTAAAAATGTTTTTCCTCAACCAAATTACAGATTTATGTTTGAATTTGCCTGATGCAGTAGAGCTGTTTCCATGAAATTCCTGAAAAGGTGCCAAGATGCTGGGATGGCCACATGGTTCCTCCAGTCCCCATCAACAGAAAACTTCCCTTTGCATTTTGCAGCCTTCCTGCATGATTCTCCCCTCCTTTTTCTTTACGGCCCATGTGCAGTTTTTAAGCTCTCTGGGAGGAGATGTCAGTAGTGGCCTGCTGTCAGAACCAGTTCCAGATGCCAGCTTGGTCTTTTCATGCTTGTCCACAGCAGTGAGTTGATATGAAATCCTCCCAGATCTAGGTGAATAATGAAAAGGAGAGGTCAGAGCAAAGAAACTGTGAATACTACTGGACCAGTTGAATATTCAGCAGAAATGAAGGAACCAAGATTTGGCCCACAGTGTTTAGGGAAGTTCATTGATTCAGCCATGRGACAATAAGCTTGTACCTTCCTGTGTGACTCTTTAAGGTGGAGAAGTTGGAACTTTGGCTCAAACAGAAGAGTAAAGCCAAGATGCAGTGAGGATACATTATGYTTCAAAGTGCAAGAAATTTCTTGGTAAATGTCTTCATAATTATTTAATGTAAGATAACTTCTGTTGGGGAAAAAAMCAGTATTTGATTCCAGGGACTTCAGAAGTAAATGGAAGAAAAATAAATAAAACCTTCAGAGAATTGTGATATCCTTACAGATAGTGAATGGGGATTTGTAAGGGCATGGAACAAATGTTACCAGAGATAGTGAGGAAGATATTTAGTGACTTGTAAAACATCAGGTGTTATTGACTTGAACTTAATGTGTGTTGGAGGGGACCAGATTTTTATTTTGTCCAGGGGTTGCACAATGTGGCCAGGAAGGAAGGAAGGCAGGCAGAATGGGAGGAAAAGAGGTAGAGAATGCTAGGCTAGATGCCTAGCATAGAAGTTGTGTGTATRGCCCAGCTTTGGAAAATGAAGAAAAAAAGGCACACATAATATATCCAAGTGTGGCATTTGAAGTGAAGTACTTTATTTCCAGAAGTGCTTTGAGGAAAGCAGCTGACCTCAAAGAATGCCATTTCCATGAAATAAAGAATGCTCTGTAAGCCGATTTGCTTGATGAGTGAATATGGGTTTGAGAGTGCATACACAGGAGGAACACACTGAAGAAGAGAATTAACATTTAAAACAGTTAAGAATATGGAGCTGTAGTCTATGGAGTTCATAGTGAATAAAAAAATCAGGAAGCTTAGCATTCACTCTGAATTCCAAATAATTAAAATTAGACATATTCAGGCATCCCACAGTAAATATGCGAAGCAGCATATGGATTGGGGACGGTTCTATGTCTGCACTTCAACTGTCTGGTACTTTGCTTAAAATACATTTGAGTTCCTCTGCATTAGTGCAGCRTTCCAAATTTCACAAGGATCCAAGAGCTTTTGAATAACATGCAAAACTGCAGTTGACGTGACGGCTACCATGATGTTGTACCTATGAGGCTGGACTTCTGAGAAGATACCAGAGTGAGCCAGAGGCACCAGTCAGTGAATGTTTTATTGTTGGGGTGCAGGGGGTGGAGGTGTTTGTTTTTTTCTGTTTGATTTGTGGCTTTTTGGGGGGCGAGTCTCCTTGAATCCACACATGGAGCACACTCCAAGTTGCAAGATGATGGAGGCAGAGCCTGAAGATGCTCCATACTGTGGGCGTGCAACCAGGAAGGAGAAAACTGC